TGAAAAAAAAAATCTAAAAGAGTTTTTGACAAACACTGTTTGTCTGCATAATATTGTAAGAAAGTTTACATTTATCCTTCATTCCTCTGTTTTAAGTAACCAACAGACAGTTTGTTTTCTCTAAGCCATGGATTTATGTGAATGAACTGAGCAGTAACCATGTGAGTCGGGTGTGCTACAACTCACAATATCAGTAAACATATCAAACCTGTGATCGTCAAAACCAAATAAAATTCAGGTTTATCCTTCATGTATGTTTTCAGTTAATTTTGCGTCTTGCAGCCCCCTCCCCCACCACCCACACTTACAAAACCACCAAAAAGAAATCTATATAAATAACATAGATGCTGGTTTGCTGACAGTTTCCTAAACTGCTTATGTGTATGCTTGTTATTCTGGTATACCTCACTGATAATGCCCATTCCAGTATGTAGCGATTTGTTTAGTGAAAAAAAAGCACATAATTGGGAAGCTCTCCCTCCAAAGGCAAAGTATCAAAAACAGCACAAACCAACAGTGCTGCAATCCATCTCAACTGTGTACTAGTTCCTATACACTATGGCATATTCACGATTAAGCGCTCTCTGTTGCAAATAGAACACCTCCCCACCCGCTCCCATTAGGAAACTCTAACAAGATGAGGGCAGCAAAAACTCTCAGAGATAATGCTCCCTTTTCTACCTCATCCAGCACCTCGTCTAACAGAAAGAACACCAATCTTTTTATAAGTCAGAAAGTGCATTTTAAAAACAAAGACAAAGACTTTGAATGTTTTGCTTTGGCCAGTTTCTTTTCACCCATCAGTACTCAACATTTACATGTAGCTTACTACAAAGAAAGATTCAAAGGTGCTCCAAATGTATACAATATCTCATGTCTGTGATATACTTGCAAAGATTTCACCTTTTCTATTAACTGTGCATTATCTCATGATGTTTCTATATAATTTGAAATTTTGAAAAATAAAAAATAACCACTTGGAGCAGTTTTCACTGTGAGTGAAGAAACCAGCTGCATATACTGAGACATTTGGCCATCATTGTTGTTAACTCCTTCCTCATCTAAAAACACTGAGACACAGAACACACACATAGTATATTTAGAGTGAACGCGCAGCCATGTGCAGAAGTGACGCTAGTGTGTGGCGAGCTCACACCAGCAAAGAAAAGGATGGAACATGGCGATAGTTTTAGGCACAAATACTTTAGACCGTTAATACAAAGAAAAAAAAAATGCTTCTGTTTCAACACACAGATAACATCTAGGCAGTAGGACAGTGAACAAAAGAGAATCTAACATTAACATTTAACGTCAACATTTTCGAGATAGTTTCTATTTAAGTATTTGTGACAACACATGCTTTCATGACAGTGGTGGTTGACTGTAATATTGACCTATCGACAAAGTCTGGAGTGAAGACTTGTAATCTTTTAAAACAGTTTCTCAAAGGGCTTAGTCACTGTGAACTGATGGGATATTTGGTGCCATAAAAGTGGCAGCTCTGGATCGAAAACTCTGCATGACTGAGAATTTGTCACATTTGATTAAGGAGAGAGCAGTAAGGCCTTGAGCACAATGTAAAACCTACTGTATGCGCACGGAATGAACCAGCAAGCAGTAATGGTAGCTGCTTTTCTGTGTGTAATCAGATAGTCAGTTGTTTTTGCTTATCTTTATACTTGTGTGTTAATGTCCTGGTCAGTTTAGAGTACCTAAGCCCCATAATGAATTTACATGAGACAGAAACCTTAATGCAAACCAGCTTTTCTTTATCCTCCACTCTTGGTCAGCTTTTTTTAGCCTTTAATACAATTTCCTGAGGTCTTCATAAAGTGTCTGAGATATGCTTTAGTTAAAATACACCACAATTACAGTAACAAAGCACCCTTATGTTGCCTGTCTTTAGTTCATTTAAAGAGGGGTGCAGTACTTGACTTCACTCTTCCGCTTTCTTTTGCTTGTATGTTTGTGTCTGGTTGGTTGTATTTTTGTGTCATAGATCATTCTTTTTTATTTCACCATCAAATTGAGTACCCTTTGTTTCAAAGTGGGACAATTAGTTGGGTCTCACTTCCTATTTGGCTAGGTCAGGTTTAGGACTAAAATGTGAATCATGTTAGGGTTAAGGTGAGGCTTAGGAATGCACTGATTGTTGTTAGGGTTAGGGCATAGAAAGAGTTATACAATGACTGACAATCAATGGAAGTCAATAGGACTTAACACACATTCCTCACTTTATACAGCAAGATTGTGTGCATGCATCTGTGTGTGTGTGTTTGGTTATTGCTTATTCACACAATCAATCTAATGCCTACGTCTTGAAGAGAGTTTACAGTAATCAGCCTGCAGCTCACACCATCACATATAGACTAAGAGTTGGCAAGATGATACCCAACACAATTGTAAATCTAAGGAAGAAGCCCTACTTATATCTGTAGTTTGGTCTGTTGGTGGTCATTTTGCATTTATAAGGGGCAGAGCCTCACAAGTTATGTCAGACCATGCACCTCACATATAAATTCTAGAGACCATAATGTTAAAATGTTGAAAATGTTGTGTTTTTTAAAGAGATTTATTAAGGATTATGACCATATAGGCTCTTTTGAATGGTATTTCCTGTTTATTTTTATTATGCCCACCCTACTGATTGGAAAATTTATATTGTTAACAGGAAATAAAACACAAATACTCACTATTCTTTATAAAAATAATATTTTGAAGTAGAATTCATGTAATCTAATAATGCTTTTTATGAAAATGATTTTCTCAGTTTTATCTTTTAAGGTTTATTGTGTAATTTTGACTGAACAAAAACTGCAATCCAGTTTCTTGGGTTAGAAAAAGGACCTAAGAAGCATCATTTTAAACCAGCTTGCCTGAGCAGTGTCTCAATTTTCTGAGTCATGACAAGCACAGCAAACATAAATACAAGGAGACCAACATTTTGGTCTGTGTTTGTGAATATGCGTTGACAATTATTCAGGAATCTTCTATAGGTTTGCAGCTGAAAATCTAAAGTTTCAATTTGTTACTGACTTTTGAATGCTCTTCAGATGATAGGCCAATGTGTGCTAAAAACAGCAGCTCTCGATTGCCAGCTTGCTAAACTGCAAACTCCAGAACTGACAAAGACTCTAAGACAGTTCTCAAAATGTATTTGACAAAAATCTAAGTGAATGTCTGGTTGCCTTTGATTGAAGCCTAGTGGTGGTCTTTGCCAACCAGCATTCTAAATGAAGCAATTACCTGATTAAACTTTACTAAACCTCTGCCCCAGTGTAAAAAGATAAATGGTAAGGTGGTTAAAACATACTACAGTATAATAATTATAATTTTTTTGTGCCCTGTTAATTACTTCAGTCCAGACAAGAGAAAGTGTTGTAACAAGATAATCTTACTATTAAATAGTTGGTGCTGGCTAGACTCAAAGTTTGGAGTTTTAATATTTGTGTTGTGTCTTTCTACAGTCATAATCTAAAGGCCTTTCAACTAAAGTTTGTATTCTATGGTAAGTTTAACTAAACGTTGGGTCCAAATTTGCAGTCAAGATCATTGGATTAGCAAAAAATGCAAGAAGCCTCATCGTGCTTTAAAGACAAACATTTTGAGGAAGGAACTGTAGTGATGTATAAAAATGTTAATGATAGTGGGATGTAATTTTAGGTTTTGTGCACACACACACAAAAAATAAAGATTTATTTTCTGCTAAGCAGTGAGAGAAAGCGTTCTTGCCTTTAAAACCATTTTAATCAAAAAAGGCGTCAAAAGGGGTCCGATATATTGTTGTTTTAATATTTTTCTTTTTCAACTTTTATTTAAACACACTGGAGCAAAAAAATATATAAGATTGTTGTAAAATGGTTTATGAAGCCTTCTTTTTTTTCTGATTTTAATGGATACTTTTTAAAACTTTTTAAACTTTTAGACAATCACCTTCACACATTCCTGGGTTGTTAAGAAATTATGGCTGGTTAGTCCCTAATTTGACAAGGGATTGGCCAATGAAATTAACCCAACAGAGCAGTTTTTAATGATTTACCTTTAAACTGTATAAGGCAATAAATCTTAACTAGCAAACAGGGGACAAGCTAAGTTGATGAATTTTTAAGGGATGCAATTCATAAGAATTAAAATGAATGTTTCTACCCTCGAGTATGAAAAGTAGAAATAATGGAAAATTCATCAGCATTTTTTAGAAAGTGGAATGACTGTAACAGCTTAAAGTAGCCTATCTACTTAGATTGAAAGAAAGGTAAAACATCTTGTTTGTGAATATAATACACTGAACTTAATTGATGTAAAAGCACAACTTGTTTTAGTGCTAAATATAACATACAGGCAGAGAAGAGCGAGGAAAGCATACATGCTCTTCAAGCCAACTTTTCTCTGAATCAAGTTCTGGTCGCTCTTGCATTAAGGTTTGCTCATCTCTTATGAAACATACGTATTATGCCATTTAACCTTTGTCGCATATAGATGATAGAAGTAAGACATTGTTATGATAGAGAATGCACAACACAGTATCTGTAAATCCTAGATCTACAAAACTATTTACAGCACACGTATAGGTATTTGTTATGTCACAGTCTATTGCATAATGGTGATAATCTTTAGTTTATAAATATTATAAATATACACAGAATTCTTTTTTTAAGGAACATTACGTAAGATCTCAACCATATGAAATCAGAAAGAAAAAAAAAATCAATATCATTCATTCATATTCAACTCCAAGCTCTTTCTTCATCAAAGAAATAAACAAAGAAAGCAGCATCAGTTTTACCTATTCCCTTTGGACCCATAACGCTGTCATGGTTTGAATGCGAGCCTGCCTTAGGGGGATATAACGACTCAACAAACTGTATTCTCATGAATGGGAGCGACTTAATACTCAATTACAGTTTTTATTATGAGCACTGAAGCAAGTCTCACTAAATTATTCTTTTTTTTTTTTTTTAAGAATTTGCTATTTTAAAAATTCTTCCTCAGAGTTCATTTAACTCATAATTATCCAATGATTCCTTACACATTAAACATGAGAAGACAGTTTTTTGCTCTTCACTGAGTTAAATAAAATAAAAAAAGACATTGCATTCCAGTTAAAAAGAAATCAAAAATAAACAATAACAGTTAAATAAAAATAATGATAAAAAACTTCATACATGATATATGATTTTATATATTTCTTAGAAAGGAAGACTCATATTTATACTACAGCTTTAAATTGCCTTTGCCAATATAGTAGTTGGATTTTACACACTTGCATCTGAACACACCCACTCTCTCAAACATCCATTCACATGTATCCGTATAATATACATTCTTAAGTTTAGGGAGACAAAAATTTCTAAAATATTATACAAGGGCTTATATACATATAAGATTTCTATGAGGTTACTTTAGAGGAAAGTTGGAGGGAAACAAATAAACTCATAAATCCCTCTTTTACCTCTTTTGTTCTATACCCATCTTAAAGATGAATTGAAACACATTTAAGTAAAAAAAAAAAAAAGAAACTGGATAGGACATATGGAATCATAAATTTGATGCAAACCGCATTTTGTCCTGTTCAGTCTCTGTACTGCTGAGGACAGAATCTCTTCTAGATCCAGGGGATTCCCTGTGCTGAGTGGAGGATGAGGATGCAGCTGCCACTGCCGCAGCCACCGAAGCGCCCGAACGCACCGGGGGCAATGCTCCCGACGACATCTGGCGGAACAGACTGACCCGCTGGGGCACCGTAGTGCGGATGCCACCTTGTAGACTTATTCCCTGGATGGCTGCTGCTGTCAGTGGCACAATGGAGGCCAGAGACTCCCCAGAGGTTTGATGAGCTCTGGGCCCCAGGGATGTGTCATGTGGCAGTGATGGTTGGGAGGCCGACAGGTGTCGGACATCTCGACTCAAGCTGCCAGACTGAAGAGCCTGGGTACTCTTGTGGATGTCTCCCCTCTGAGGTGAAGGGACCTGCTGCTGCACCGCTGAGGTTGCAGCAGCAGTTGAAGTAGCCAGCTGCTGACCGAGCTGTTGCTGGGTGGGTAGAGATTGTTGGCCAATGGGCTGCTGGATAAGCGACAGCTGGGAGGCCGTTGGTGAACCATACTGGAAGCTCCGGTTAGCCAACGGGGTCTGAACGGGCGGGCTGCACATGGCCGCCGTGAAGGAGCAGGGTGACATTATTGCTCCCTGCTGCTGAAATGCTGTCTGTGAAGAGGAATTCAGGTTAATTTGGGAAAGACTGGGAGCTGGGAACCCCCCCTGTGCAGCAGCAGCGGCAGCAGCAGCAACTGGCAACATGCGAGCAACAGAGGCGTTGGCAATAGCCGAAGCACTATAAGTCATGGGTACAGAGGACTGCTGTAGCTGAGTGGTGCCAAAGGCGGTGGAGTAGGGTGGCTGGGCTGGTGAGTTAATGATGGAGTTTCCTGACATTGGAGTCGAGTTCATCCCGGTAACTGATTGTTTGCGGTCCACCATCATCACCATCTCCCTGTCCTGACGGATAATCTGCTTCAATATCTCGTTCTCCTGTGTGTTGAACACGCCGGCGTTCAGATCCTTCTGGAACTTCTGCAGCAGCAATGAGTTCTTCTTCCCTGTTGATGTCCAATTAGGAGAGTTAACCAATGCAGCAACAAAAAACTTTTGGAGAAAAAAGAGAAGGGCAGAACCTCAGGTGACAAAGTTGCAGCTTGTAAGTTTCAGATCTTAAAAAGCATACCTAAATTACAGCTCTAAGCTGTTAAAGGGATGCATCGTTGCACACACATATATATATCTATATATATATATATCTATATATATATAGATATATATATATAGATATAGATATATTTAAATAGAATCAGATCACTGCACCTAATTCAATCTCACAAACTGCATCTTTATAGACCCATTTAGCACTTCTACATTTTTTAAATAAAAACTAAAATACATTTAATAGTCATAACTATGAGCAGATAAAAGATTTGACAAAAGTAAAGGGCACATAAGAGACAAAGATTATTTAGGGGTGTGACATGATGACATAGACAATGGGGGTGATAAGGTCAAAACACAGAGGAGCTATGGATGATTTACCCACACGCCACAATACTGGACACTTTTAAAGGCGGAAATTAGAAGTTCTATTAATTAAATGACATAGCAGTCTATTTTACCTAGAATTTTGCTATAACATGTATTTAGAACTTTACGAAAAACCAATTTAGTCTTAATTTGTAAAATAATTGTAAATTATTTAGCTGCATTGACTAATTTTTACCGAAAATTACACCTCAGCTGGTTCCTTTGTGTACAGTTGAAAACAATGTCCATTTTGTTTTCTCATTTATTTTTATTTTAGAAAATAAATTTAGTTTTATTATTAGTATAATGTTCTTCACTAAACTGTTAAAAAATATTACTTAAAAGGAACTAATGTCATTGGTACAGCTAGCAAGTATGTGTAAAAGTCTTAAACTAAATTAATTTTATGGTCAGGCTCAAATATGTAGAAAAAACTATAAAACTTTTTTAAACAGCAAAAACAAACTAATAATAATAACCCTAACCCCTGAGAATTTCAATAACAATACAGAATGATGAGAGAGAATTTTTAATATACATACATTTAAAGGTTTAAAGAGTTAAATATTACTATGTCTTATTTGCCCAGTCTATAAAATGGAAAAGCTAAGAGAAGTTGCCATTTATTATGCTAGCCTAAAATTTTTGTTTTTTTTATTGAGAATGTTTAAGGTCTGTAAGAAACATCTTGTGCCCAAATAAAAATGTTTCCAGTGTGTCAAAATGCTTTGGCTACAAATATAAATGTGGCTTATTACTTATTAAACAGCAAACTCTTGTTGCTTTTATAGGAAAAATGTAGCAAAAAGGAACAGCTCCCACCCAAAAGACGTTAGATTTAAGATTAAGATTTGATTTTACATTTAAGGTATCCATAACGTTTCCTTACAGAATGTGTTTCCTGAAATTATTGCTGTCCTTCTGTACCTGAAACCCATGAAACATTGTCAGTAAAGAAGACAGAGTGGACTTTCAGTGTGGTGAAGGTCTACACTTCAGTCAATCAATCATTTGATCCTGTCCCTGATGGTGAAGAATTTCTCCACATTGTTTACTGTTTAGTAGGATTTGCTTCACCCAAGGCTGCTGATAAGCCATGCATTCAGCTATAAGACAGAGGTTTGGAGCTGTAGCTTCCGAAAATGGATTAATCATACTTTGGCAGTATTAATTTATTTTTATGTTTTTCAGAATCCAGCGCTCTATTTGATGCTGAAGACTTGGTTCGAAACAACCACTACAGGGTCTGGCAATAAAATACTAAAACAAACACAGGCTGACTTTGAAACAACTGTCAACTTACAATCTGGCTTACATGGCAATTTTAAAGGTGAAAGGGTCAAACCCTGTGGAGTGGAATGAAAATACATGGATTCATTATTTCAAACTGAGCTGTTTAATTTCTATGTCTCCCAGTAACAGATCCTTATTGGAAGCATTTTTAACTCTTGAAAAAACAAAAACCAACATAATCCTTATTGGTCACCAAGATTTTTGAAGAGCTGCAGTTCATTCATGATGCAATTATCATCAGTACAAAAGAAAAAATGGCATTGTCATTAGCTCCTTAAACCTGGTTTCCATTTTCCAACACAGACCAGTGTCATTTATCTCATGGCTCTAAATGTTAAAATAAAAAATAAAGATTTAAGGTGACAATTTTAGAGGAAATCTTCAGCCATAAGTCCTAATGAATTAAATGAAAAACATGCACTTATTAAAAAAAACATTTACCGGTAGCAGTTCAAAAACTTTTGCTACATTAGGATGCTGCAGCTTTCTAATAATTTAAATAATAAAATTAATAACATCATCTTTTAACATGGCACTTTTGGACAACAGGAAATGTCTCTACTTTTACTTCTAAAAAATAAACCTACAAACAAAATCAATGTACCGTACTTTAATGTAAGTTGTTGTAAAATTGTAGTAAAACATAAAGCTTTGATGTGTCTTTAATACCTTAAGTTTAATACCATTATACTGGAATTATTTTAAAACTTAGCAACACACCATTCAAGTACATGTAAAGCAAATGAAACACATAATGTTTAAAACCAAAACTGAAATAATGAAGGGTAAAATTTAATATAAACATCTATTGTCTGAAATTATAGCAATTAAAAATGTAAGACTCTGAACCTGAGAATTGTTGTGTACAGTAATAAACAAACAGAAATCTGCTGGTGAATAGATTCATACAATTTTCAGGCTGACCAGCTGTGTAAAAGCCTAACTTTTTCTGCTCTGTAAATCCAATACTGCCTGGGTACTATCCCTATGAGAGTTGGGTGATGTGCTTAAAGGTATAATCTTTTCACTCAAGCTGCTAGACCAAAAGACCAAACTTTAGTACCTATTTTTGTTCTTTAACATATGGTTATTTTGTAGTTTAGACCTCTCTGTACCAAAGTTGTTCAGTTACAGAAAGCAATTGTCCACAAGAGGATGTAACTTTATTATGATAGGGATTCTGATTTGGTAAAAGGACAAACCCCACTTTATCACATGCCAAGAAGCTTAAAAATAATACAATAAACTTGTAAACTTTAAGCTAGGATAGTATTCTACATTCCATATGTAGGCTACTTCTTATACAGACTGCTGTTTGCTGGTATCTAATGGCAACATGACTAATAAATACAAATCAATATAACACTTTAAAACATTGACCTTTAGTCTTTTTTTAAATATATATACATAAATAATACTGTATCCCTCTTGTGTCAGTCAAGCATCTGCTGAGTTACAATCTCTTTTACAAATATTGAAAACCCTTATTTGCAGTTTTAAAAAATAATTTGGAATTTGCTAAAGTCAGTACCAGCATGTAAAAAGTATCCAAATTTCCAGAGTTGTGAACTTACTGAGTTCACAACTCAGTAAGTTACTTACTTTTTTAAAATAGAGTAATAATTTTTTTTTATAAAAAAACAACAACAAAAAAAAAATAAATAAGGACAGTGCCAAGAAAACAACAATCTCAAAATGAAAAGAGATAATCTTTACCGGATTTACTGTAGCTATTTTCCTTCTGTAGTCCTTAAAGATGGGGAGAATTTAAGAGGAATAATGTCCTATTGTTAAATCTTTATACAATCTGTTCATTTGATGATTAGTGATCATTTTCAAACATACTTCTAAACTGTAAAGAAATATTTATGGGTAAAAGGTAAGATAAAAATGTATTCTATAGACAAATGCAAACATTATGCATTATAAACAAACTGTGGTCTGGAAGCATCAGTAATCACACTTTTGGATAATGCATATACCAACACATGCTGTGACTCTGCCATAAAAACAGATACAACAATATATAGATTAAATATCTAGAATTTTTAATCATACTATTTTCCATTGGCTGCATTTTATTTCAGACAAACTGGAACAGAGTGAAAAAGCTATAGATGTGGCAATTTAAAATGTCCTATTTGTGGGGGATACTGTGAATGCTGAATCCTCCAGGCTAAAGAGGAGGGACAAGCCTGCTGTTATCGCCATCAAGTTAAAAAGGCAACATCTGTGATGGCACGGAGGTGCAGCCATGCACATGACAAGTGAAAGTTCTGCACATCTGTGAAGGTCTAATTTATGCTGATTATTATTTACAGATTCAAGAAAAGAAAAAGAAAAAAAAAAAATCCCCAAAACGGTTAAAGGAAACATTAGTTTTTATTCTTTATATTTAATATAGTTCTGAGTTTTAAATTAAAAATCAGTTCAGATGTGTTATGTCTTATCATTGCTTCTTTCACTTTTCAAAATTATTCATAAAAATTCCAACTTAAAAAACATTTACCTCTCTGTCCCAGTTTATCATAATTAGCATTTAAATTGAGATAAAAAAAAAACTTTGATTAGTTTCCAGTTTTTTATAGAAGAGGTAGGATATCCAAAACTTGTATGTAAAACATGTGGCGGCACATAGAATCTGAATTAAATTTCTGCAGTAGCCTGCTTTTATTAGGCATGTTTAAGCAGGAAAACAGGGACCTGAACATTTTACCTGCATAAGGTCATGCATTTTTATTTTTTTATTTTACACACGACAGAACAGACGGGTCAGACAATCAGAAACAAACTTTTAATTGGGTGAAAACATGAATAAATCATGAAATGAAACCTTGAAAGCTGAAATGAACTGTATGTGGTGTTGTATTAGTAAAATTCTTACTAATTTGGAAATATGATTTTTCTGAATACACTTTCAGGAAAGGATACAAAGAAAACATTGATAGTTAAAACAATCACACCTTACCATAAACTATATATTTTTTTTCATTTAGGAAAAAATGTCATGTAGAACTGGATGAAATTCCTTTGTTTCTTTGATTGTCTTAGTTGCTGATATTTTAATGTGTCCATCAGAATGTAGGAAATTCTGGTGTGGGTAACTTAAGTTATGTGTTTAGGATGCAAAAATCAAACAGATAATGTAAACTTCAGCAACAAGTCAAGCTGTTGTGATGATAATTTTTGCAGACTGGATTTATTTAGCAAGGCTGAATGTGTTAAATCTGGCCCT